ATTTGAGATTGCATTCACATGGTACACGGGTGAACACGGCCATGCATACAAAACTTACACATATAATCACTTTTGGTGGCTGGAGAGATGGCTCAGCAGTTAAGAACACTGATTGCTCTTCCAGAGGACCCAGATTCAATTGCCAGCACCCACATAGACACTCACTACTGTCTATACCTCCATATCTAGGGACCTAACACCCTCATTCATGCAGGCAAACCATTACCAGTGCACATGAACTTTAAAAAAAAATTTTTCTAGATTTAACTTTTTACCGATGTTCTAGATACATGTATATATATATATATATATATATATATATATATATATGTACCATGTACACATGTACCTTGGTATTGTTTATGTATGGTTATGAGCCACCATATTTGTGCTGGGAACTGAATTCAGGTCCTCTGGGAGAACTCTTTACCGATGCACTGATGAAGGAGGGTCATCTGTCTATGTGTTACTTTCATTGGTTAATAAAGAAACTGCCTTGGCCCTTTGATAGGACATAAAATTAGGTAGATGGAGTAGACAGAACAGAATGCTACAAGAAAGAAGCAGATTCAGGTAGACATTATAGCTCTCCTCTCCAAGATGGACACAGGTTAAGATCTTTCCCGGTAAACCATCACCTCATGGTGCTACACAGATTATTAGAAATGGGTTAATCAAGATGTGAGAATTAGCCAGTAAGAGGCTAGAGCTAATGAGCCAAGCAGTGTTTAAAAGAATAGTTTCCGTGTAATTATTTTGAGTAAAGCTAGCCGGGAGCTGGGAGGCAGGAAGCGGCCTGCCGCTCCTTCTACATTGCACTCTCTCCAGCCCTCATGTTTTTACTATAAATCTTATCAACTATATATTTTTTTTCCTAACTACAAACAAAAGTGTATCATTTTTTTAGTAGTTAGGCACTTGGCACAAGTCTGTAATGCCAGCATACAGGAGGTGGAAGCAGAATGGAGGTGAAGACTAGCCATCTTTTGGGACAGTGATCTCGGGGCCAGTCTGAGTTACTTTCAGTCTTGTTTCCACAGTTTTTGTTTTTTGTTGAGTGTCTCACTATATATATAGTCCAGGCTGGCCTAAAACTCATGACCCTCCAACGTAACATAAACTTTTTACTCAACTCTTAGTAGTTATTACGTACCTGTTGGAACACAGTCCAGGTACGGAGTTGTGTTAGAATTCTATGTGCCTGTGAGAACACTCCAAGAACACTTTAGTTTCTTCGAACCCAGAACCATTCTTGGGAGTATTTCCATGTGCCTCCCAGGTATATTGGATAGGACTGAGTTTACTTCAGATTCCTCATTATCGCTTGCTGCTCTTCTTCAATGAAATGTTTATGCATCTATAGAAAACCGTTTTTGTCACATGGGACTCGTCCTTTTTATTGTATACAGCATAAACTCCTAAGTTTTTTACTCGTGATTTCTCAAGCCTTTGGCATAAATTGCCTGGGGTTCTGAATAAAGTTAGCTATTGCATGAGACTCCATCTCATTTATAGGCTCCCTTCTCACAGGTTCCACCACCTCTAGAGTAGTAATACTACCAAATGACCAGCACAAAATTCGACCCCACAATACTTTGTCAGAGTGGGGAAGAAGTTTATGATGCTGTCCCTCCTTAAGGATTTGTAAGCAGGCAACTAAAGAGTTACTGAGGGAAGGAAAGATTTTCTTCAGAGGAATAGCCACTGGTAAACTGCCCAGGTTCCTCTAACATCTTTAGTGTTTATGTGCACCACAAACTTACAGGAGCACTCACAGGTTCAGGTGATGGCATCAGACCCTTACATTGTGGGGCAGTAGAAACCAAGCCCCAGTCCTCCGCCAAGAGCAGTAAGCTCTTCTAACCAAAGCCCTCTGCAGCCCCTGCTCCAGTAACTTTAAGCCCACTGGTTCACCAAAGTTCCATTACAGCCTTGAAAAGTCAACCACCACAGTCACAGCAGAAGACAGCAGCTTGGCAAACATGAGAGGGGTAGAAAGCAAAAAAGTGCCTTCAAAGCCCAGACACAAAAAACTCTTTAATTCATCCTGTTTGGAGATTTTTCTCAAAGATCCTCAAGACTTAACTTTTTCAGGACTTTTGCAAAGACTCATAGAGCAAATCTGCACTAGGAACTGACACAATTCTATTTTCAACTCCATGTTTCCTTCCACCGGAAATGCTGTTAACTCCATTTGAAACACTCAGCAAACAATGGCAGGTACCAGAAGCATGCGCCTGACTTCTGACCAATACAGTACTGCTGTGCTACAGCAGACAACAGTAGCAACAGAAACCTGTTCCTGCAGTAGTTACTCAGAGGAATGCAGAGATCATGAATCCAGCCAGCCAATGGAGGGACTCAACTGTTTCAAAAGTACCTTAACCCATGTCAAGTAAAAGTATTACACAACCTCTGAAACACAATGTTACAGAAATGCATGGGTACTCTGAGGTAGACTGAATGAGATGTTTGCCCCATGTCTCAGGTATTTAAGTGATTTCAATTATTGACTGTCTGGAGAGGCTCAGGAGGTGTGGCTTTGATGGAGAAGGTATGTCACTGTCACTTAACTGCCAGCATTGAGATTTAAAAGCCTCAATCTCTGGCTATCCCCAATTCACTCTCTATATTCTGTTTGTAGCTCAAAATGTAAGCCCTCAGCTCTCTGGCTGCTGCCAAACTTCTCTGCCTTCGATAGTGGTAGACTCTCCTCTGAAACCAAAAGCCCCAAACAGCCCTTTCCTTCCTTATAGAAGATGCCTTGGTCATGGTAGCCAATCCAATACAAAACAGGTATTACTCCTAACTTTGAAAAGCATGTATCAGAATTTGTAGTTCAAAAAAAAAAAAACCCTATACATAACCACATACATTCCCCTAACAATGAAGTGTCTTGTCTCTATTTCCCTTCCCTACTTGGCAATTTCATTTAAACAAGGCAATACTGTTTCTTGAATAAAGAAACAACTTTGTTCTTTATGTAAACTTAGGTATACCACCAAAGAGATTTTTTTTAAATATTTATTTACTTATTATGTATACAATATTCAGTTTGTGTGTATGCCTGCAGGCCAGAAGAGGGCACCAGACCTCATTACAGATGGTTGTGAGCCACCATGTGGTTGCTGGGAATTGAACTCAGGACCTTTGGAAGAGCAGGCAGTGCTCTTAACCGCTGAGCCATCTCTCCAGCCCCCACCAAAGAGATTTTAAACCAAACATAGAAAAGGGACTGGAATCAAAAACTTGCTAGGCCAGAAATCTCAGCACCTGAAAGTTCCTCAAGCACCTTGAAAGCACCTTAAGGCACCTCAAGTTCAAGGCTAGCCTGAGGTACAGTGAAGCACAGGCCACCTTAGGTGCCAAAGTATAAGAACATCTCCAAATACAACTTGACAAATGGAGCAAATTTTGCACAGAAAAATCCATAAAAATTACTGTTTTAAGCTACTAATGACACACCGCCCCCCTTTTTTTCACAAATACGCTTATTTCTCTATGGAAGATTTTTTTTATTTTAAATTTGCAATTCATCAGAATGTGCCAATTTAAACCAGGCATAGTGGTACACATCTTTTAATTTCAGTACTCTTAAAAAAAAAAACTAGAAATTCCAAGACAGCTTGTGCTACATAGCAAGACCTGCTTCAAACTTTAGAAAGTTTTTAAAAGTTGTCAATTCCAGGGCAAGCAAGGAGAGAAGTGGGAAAAAGCAATGCTGCCAAGCTTAATGTTGATTTCTATCAGGGTAGGACAAAACTGTGCCCTCTTCTAAGTAGTGCTCTGGCCTCTCCCTACACTAGCATATCACACACATCTACACACATAAATAAAGTGGTGGGAGGTGATCAATTTTTCAGAATGAAAAAATGGCTCATAGGTTAAAGTGCTTGTAGCTCTTTTAGAAGACCAAGTTCAGTTCCCAGCATACACATCAGGTTGAGCATAACTGTCTGACTCTAGCAGATCCAAAACACTATTCTGACCTTTGTGGGCACCAATACATACCCATACCCACAACTGCACATCCATCCAAGTAACATCTTTTGAAGAAAGACAATTTCCACTTCAGTAAAAATGTTTTAAAGGTAAAAGAATATTTTGTATTCCAAGTAACTTTTAAGAAGAATGTTATATTTGTAACAAATTTTTAACTGTTACAACTAACCTAAAGAAACAACTTGGTAGGACAGGCTCCAAAGCCACAGAGAAACCCTGTCTCGAAAAACCAAAAAAAAAAAAAAAAAAAAAAGAAACAACTTGGTTATTTTGTACTTTCTAGAGGAGTTGGCTGGGGATGTGACTCAAGTGCCAGATTCAATTCCAAGCACAATATGAAATGTGGCCCACCACTGCAATCCCAGCAATTTCCCACTCAGGTGAAAGCTCAGAAGTTCAAAGTCATCTTTAAATATATTCTGAGTTTAAGGTCAGCCTTGGCCACATGAGACCCTGTTTCAAAATAAAATTTCATTAATGTCTTTTTTCTCTCTCTAAAAAAAAAAAGACAGATACAGCTCTAGGTAACCTCAAACTGAGAGCCCTGAGTGCTAGGATTAAAATTCAGTTCATTTCAGCTGGGTTGCAGTGATGTAAACCTTTAATCCCAGAACTCAGGAGGCAGAGACCAGCCTGGTCTACCTAAAAGAGTTCCAGGGAAGCCAAGGCTGTTAGAGAAACTCTGTCTTGAAAAATCAAACAAATGAAAAAGTTCTGTGTGTTTTTCTTCTCAAGGAATTCTCTTGTTTGATGACTGCTAACCTGGAATTTCTGCATTTGTCACAACAACTCACTAATAACTACATTCTCTTCCAAGGAAGAGAAGAGAAAGTCATTAAGAGTTTTGAGGAATCAGTAAAAAATATTTAGCAAACCACATAACAAGTTTACTACACTTGGAGTTGATATCCCAATTTCTAGAAACAGGCCATAGAAATCAGCTGGGTAGAAAGTATGCCCAGGAACAGCCTCAAAATCAGGTACAGAGACAACAGCTGTCACCACTTAGGACATTTTATTGGCATATGACAATTTACAAGGGTCCCTGCTGAAATGTACACCACACTGAGTAAGAATCGTTTAGCCATCTACGTTCATTCTCATGGGGTAAAATTTTCCCTCAAATTATAATTTATATCCCAACACTGATTTTAACTGTAACAAAAGGGAACAATAACAATGCCTTGAAATGGAGTGCAACTGGAAGAGACTTTGCTGTTTTTTAAAACTCCTAAGATGTTGAAGAGCATACATACCTAAGAATTGAGTCATGGTCTTCTGAAACGGCTTTTTTTTTTTCCTATAAAATCCTTTGGCTCATTTTTATTTCTTTCTCTGGGCAAAGAAGTACATTAATGCAGCTCTTAACAGTTATTTTCCTAGCACTTATAATCAAGCAGCTTTACCAAGAGGAATCATTCAGCCTTTGTAACATGTTATGACATGTGAAACTAAATAGTGATCTCAAAAAATACATACAGGCTGTTGTGTGGCCCTGAAAAAGAGAAGATTCACAGCAGTGTTCTACTGCAGAATTCTTATCACCACACTTTAATGTAGTGGGCTTTTCTATCTATAACTTTAAAATCAAAGTAACCAAAGGGTATAGTACTGCAATCATACTAAAATATGACCTTACTCTCTATTAAATTATTTTTCAGTAAATTTACTTTTCTCTGTTGTAGAAAAAGTAAAGGTAAACATGCCGAGATTCAGTGTGTAACCAAGTAACTGTTAAAATAAAAGTTAAATGTATTCATATAAAATAGAATGGTATGAAAAACATTAGGGAATTAAATACATATTACTTTTATATTTAAGTCTTAATCTGAAGAGGATGGTACTAATTATGTCCAGGTTGACACAATAAAGTTGATTTGCAGACATTTCTGATTTACTAAATAATTCCAGATAGACAATTAATGGGAGAAATCATGCAATACTGAGTGACAACAATACAAATGTTGACATGGCTTTAGCTTAAGTGTGTTGCCAACAGCTCTTAGCAATTCAACATCTAAGACATATTGCAAATCATCAAAAGAGAATGAATGAGTCACACACTTACAAGCTTTAAAAGTTTACATTAATAGAATAAGCATTATCTCCTTTAATTGCAAAAATATACAACTAATCTGATGCAATGTGGCTAGTTTTATAGGTTTATTTTTAAAAAAAAGTCTTAGCATGAACTTTATTCCTTTGCTATTAAGTAACAAAGAAGAGTATATATCTCCTTAGGTAAGTCAGACCACTTGAAAAGAAAAAGGTCATTTTATAAATGGGCAGTTAGATTAATGGTACAAATCTTCTGCCAAAATCTTTTACTGGTAACATTAAGAAAAAACAAGTTATTTAACTATTAGACATTATGTTGGAACTATCTAATTATATGCTTAAATTATCAACTAATTTACAACTGGTCAGAGTATCCAAGAAATATGCAAGCTATCCATACTTAATGACTGAGTGCATCAAATTATGCTTTAGGATAATCTTCCAAATAAATAGGACTCCCAAGTTTTGATTTGTAATTATATGCTTAAATTATCAACTAATTTACAGCTGGTCAGAGTATCCAAGAAATATGCAAGCTACCCAGTCAGGTACTGAGTGCATCAAATTATGCTTTAGGATAATCTTCCAAATAAATAGGACTCCCAAGTTTTGATTTGTTTTTGTTAAAAAAAAAAAAAAAAAAAAAAAAAACGATCAGGTCTGTGGAATTAGGATTTTTCTTACACTCATATTACAAACCAGTTTCTCTCTCTCTTAGGTAGCTGATATCTAAGACCATGACTCAAACTATTAAATGAGAATGGAAGAGAATATTCAGTTTTGAATTCATACAAGCTCTTAAAATGCCACTGCTTGCTTTCAGCAAAAATACCACTTTCACAAACCTTTCTAACTTTTAGTAATTTGTACCTTTTGGCTACTAACAAAGTTATCGTCCTTATATATTTGCTGAAGTGTGAAACTAATTTTAGTTTTCCAGAATAGCAACTTTCATGGTACTTTCAAAAATTAGTCACCCTACAATGTAGTGTTCAAATTTAAAAAAGATGTTAAACAGATGTGTACAGTTAAATAATTAGTGTGGTCACTATAAACAACTCCTGTTTGAGGGTTTGTGTGGATTTGTGTAGAGCTAACGTTTACTTCAGAATCAAACATTAACAAACAGGGAGTCAAGAGAATCCGCGCTGTCACAGAGCTGGACTTGACCATTTCTTATAGACAAAGCAGAAATACAATGCATGTAACAAAAACAGTCAAAGGTTTTTAAAAGTTGATAGTTACAAATATGGTAGGGAACATTTTCTACTTTATTTCAATACAATTTTCAACATACAGTCTACTATTTTTTCAAGGTATTTGAAGACTTAAAATTTCTATAGACTACTTGCAAACAGTAAATTGTAAATAAAATGTTTACATTCTTATTTGAAAACAAAAATCAGACTTAAAAAATGTTGAGTGTCAACAAGTTCTGCTCTCTGTCGCAATCTTGAGACTAGTCCTAAAAGAGAAAAAGAAATTAGAGGTCAATAAAGCTGTGGATAGTGGATATTTATGAAAATTATTTCTAAAAGTTGATTAACTGATTTATCTGCCAAGCCCATACTAAATTAAATCTGTCAAAAAAAAAAAAATCAGAAAATTTCTACCTTTTCTTCTTTGCGTCTGTCCTTCTTTTCTTCATTATTTTCCATGGTCTCTTCTTCATCTTCAACAATCCCATCCCCTTGGTATTTGTCATGAGTCCATTTTGGACTGCTACCTGATTTTTTGAAATTAAAGCGCCCTCTGCCACGCTGAAAAGTACCACGACCTCTTCCTCTTTTGGCCCAATAATCCACACCATCATCTCTGTCATCATGCTATAGAAAGGTTTAAAAAAAACACATCATTGATATGGTTTTCAAATAAGATACTAATTCTCTAGTCACATTGAAAATATTGAAGTTCAAAAATTTCCCCACAAAAATATCATAAATGCAGAAGCCAGAAAATGTCATTGTAATAATATAAATAACATTTATTACATGCTATATAAGTTATGCCTAGCATTAAGATTTTAAAATCCTACACTGAGATTTAAATATAGATGTGATTATACATCGATCTGCAGCCCAGGGGTTTCAACGGTAAATCATGACAGCACAGTCCCATTGCAATTTATCTCAGCTTTTTTACAGGAAGTTTCGAGGCTATTACATTCCAACCTTAAGTTTTCAGTAACTATGTTTAGTTACTCCCCAACTTACAAACTATTCTGCTAAACAGAACAATCTCCAAGTCTGAAAAGTACTTAAAAGTTTCAAAAGTATTTCCATTCCAAAATGCAATACAAAAAGCCAAAGGTTTCCCTCACATTAACTCATTAAATAAATCTACCAACTCTAAGATGGAAAGTGAGGCACAACAATGGCCCTTTACAAGAAAAGCATAATGCAAATGTCATGTTGCTCAGCCTTTCCAGAACTACCCAACTAACTAAAATCCTTTCAAGTCTCACAAAGACTGTTCATACAAAACAGAATTAAGTTTTTATTGCATAACCATTTTGTAAAGATTAACTTCTTATGCAACTTAAAAATTGAACTTGTACAGGCAATTATTAAACTATTCTAAAGAACAGTTCTCAAGTGTTAATAACTAGTATATTTTTTTTTGTTTTTTTTTTTTTAATAACTAGTATATTTTGATACCATTACCAAACCAATGAAGATTGCTAGGTGGAGTCTGCATGATTCCATAAAGAATGTCTTCTGAGATTATCAAAATTATAGACTTCAGAAAAGAGCCACTCAAAACATTGTCTACAACTACATTGTTTTACACTGTTTCATGTTCCCTCATGCCATTAACACCCAATTTTAGAGCCTTTGTTTGATATGACATTATTAGTCCTTGAATTTGTAGGAAGAGGCAAGTAGTAGAGAAAAGACCTGCCATTTACATCTCAACAGAAATCAACTTCTCTGAGAATTTACTTCATTCTAATATAGGAAGACAGCCTAAAGGAACACTAGAGAGTAAGAAATACTTGGTCCACTGTCTAACAAGCCAGAACTCAATGTTTCTATGATGCTTACTAGGTATGATATGATAAAACACTGCTCTGAATACAATCCAATCTTTTTTTTAATACAATATTCTGTCTGCGTGTATGCCTGCAGGCCAGAAGAGGGCACCTGACCTCATTACAGATGGTTGTGAGCCACCATGTGGTTGCCGGGGAATTGATTCAGGACCTTTGGAAGAGCAGGCAATGCTCTTAACTGCTGAGCCATCTCTCCAGCCCTACAATCCAATCTTTAGAAGTAGAAATATTGTTGACTATCTATTCCCTATCCTATAAAACACCAAGAAAAAGAAAAATGAAAAATCTTACTGACCATTATCCACAGGATACAATTCTGATAAATCCTAGAGACAGTAAATGAGTATCAGGCAACTCAGAATAGAACTGGAAAAAGCGAGTAGCAAAGCTAGGTGCCAGCCAAATTACTCAGTACCTTTAGCTACACGCTCATCTGATATTTTAAGTAAAAAGAAAGTAGAACCTCAAGAGACTAAGATGTTTTCTTCAGAGAACGTCCTAACAGCAATTATGTTGAAACTGTGGATACACATTGTTTTTCTTTTTGCCATTTTCATGTATGTGGCACGTGTTATATATGGGCCAAGTGTGTGAGCATGCCTACAGAGGGCATGACAGAACCTGGAAACATTCTTGAATGTTCTTCCACCTTTTTCACTAAAGAAAGGTCTTGCAACTAAAGGGGAATCCTTCATCTCCACCATGAAGGCAGGAATTACAGATAGGGCTACACTCTGCAAACCCAGAGTTAGTATGTAGACCTTGGGAATTTCAGATATAACCATTGAACCACCTCCCCAGCCACTCTAAATAGTCTTCTGTTTCAATTTCTTACATTCAAAATTTGAATCTAATTTTAGTAGTTAAATTTTCCAGATGACTGTTAAAAGTTAAATGGCTTTTGTTTTTCAAGGAATCTATAATAAACTGAAGAGCTCCTGTATCCTCACCTCTCCACTAATACAATTCAATCAAGTTACCCTAGGTATGTGGCCCTATAATCCCACTCAGATTTTAAAGTCAGCCTGTTCTGCAGAACAAAATCCTGTTTTGACACCCCCTTCATTGGTTAATATATTTAAAAAGTATTGAGTTTTTAAAATTTCAAAAGTTACTCCAAACTTTGACCCCTCTTCTCCATCCCTAAGCCCTTCACTCCACCAGGGATTAATCATTTCCTTCCCTCTGAGAACTTGCCATTGCTGTATCCTCCCACTTGTTGCAGCTCACGCTCACCTCTCAGGAGCTATCCGACACTAATATGTATATTTCCTACAATTATTACTATCACGCTCTTGCATAAAGCCAAGGCTGGAGATAAGAAACCTATGATGTAACAAGCACTACTATGATTCATCAAGGCAGTTATGAGGACCACAGATCAGAAATTCAGCTGGAAACATAATGCATAGACTCAAATACTAACCCATTCTTACCAGCCCAAAAGTCAAACTTCTCAGTAACTAATCACTCTTCATCTGAAATACAAACTAGCCTCAACTCAGAAAGATTTTTTTTTTAATTTAAAATTTTTTCATTCCTGAGGTCACTATAACCCATGTTGGCACCAAACTTGTATCTGTCCTTCTGCTTGAATGCTGTGATTTCATGTATGCACTACCATGCCCAGCTTAAAGGTTACTAAGCATTAATATTCTAATAGGTTAAACTTTCTACACAGGTATTATTGTTAAAGAACCCAAAGAACTGTCTAATTTTAAACCTCATCTTTTTGAATTGTAATTTTTGCTCAGATCGCTATTCTAAATATGATCTAAAGTCAGTGTTTCTACATAAAATGCAAAATATTTTAAATTAAAATAATCTGATGAGCCAAGTGGTGCCATATGCCTTTAATTCCAGCACTTGGGCGGCAGAGGCAGGTGGATCTCTGTGAGTTCAAGCAAGGCCAACCTGATCTACAGAGAGAGTTCCAAGATAGCCAGGGAAACACAGAGAAACCCTAGCTCAAAAACAAACAAAATTCTGGTAAATCAAAGTTGCCATTTAAATTGCTCTCAAGCACCAAAATAACTTAACCATCAGTCTATGATATGTGTATAATAAATATATTGTACAGATCAAAATTTTTTAAATTAAAACCTACAGCAAGGCGGTGGTGGTACACACATGTATGCTAGAACTCCAGAAGCAGGTGAATCTGAGGTCAGCCTGGTGTACAAAGCAAGCTCCTGTAAAGTAAGGGATATACAGAGGAACCCTGCCTCCAAACAAAAACAAACAAACAAATAAATAAATAAATAAAATGATAGCCCTCAAAAGCAACAAATTATTAATCACCATTTGTTAAGTTGTTGCTTGTTTTTTTTGATACAGGATTTCTCTGTGTAGTCCTAGCTATCCTGGAACTTGCTCAAGAGACAAGGCTGTGCTCAAACTCAAGAGATCTACTTTGCTTCTGCCTCCCAGAGTGCTGGGAGGCACACCTGGAAAGTAACTCGATTCTTAAAATAACACACTAATAAAATTACTGTGTAATATTAAGACAATCTAAAATGGCTATGTCCCAAATGAATACAAAAAGATCCATGATAACAGATTCTACAAGCAACAGGAAGTCTGGTCTAAATTATATCTTTTGCTTGAGTGCAGTGTCCCATGCCTGTAATACCAAAATTTAGCAATAAGCAGACATATTAACCTAAGGGGTTCAAGGTCATCCTCCAGCATATATACATATTAAGCAGGTTTGAGACCATGTCTCAAATATACATTAGTTTTTGAAACTATTAAAAAGCATGAACAATATGCCACATATCCATTATTCTCAGCAATCAGGTAGCAGAGGCAGAGATCTCTGTGAGTCTGAAGCCAGTCTAGTCTATATAGAATAACCCTATCTTGAAGGGAAAAAAACTAATGATTCCATATTTACTAGATACCTCTTATTTACTCACACTTGAACTATTTATCGGGCAATTTTATTACTCCTCATCCAAGCTTAGAAATGTGGGCCTCTTAATAACATCTACTCTGTGTAATCTTATCACATCTTTATGACTGTCACATGGTGATTCTTTTTTTTTTTTTTTTTTTTTTTTTTTTTTTTTTGGTTTTTCGAGACAGTGTTTCTCTGTGGTTTTGGAGCCTGTCCTGGAACTAGCTCTTGTAGACCAGGCTGGTCTCGAACTCACAGAGATCCGCCTGCCTCTGCCTCCCGAGTGCTGGGATTAAAGGCGTGCGCCACCACCGCCCGGCTCACATGGTGATTCTTAGATCTTGGTGTTAACAACTACCCATTGGATCTACTTTTGTTTTCTCCTAATCACTTCAAATTCATCCTACATAGGTTAAGAATCTAATTTTCTTTAAAACTGTGTCTGTCTTCTAAATTTTCAGTTACACAACTGATCAAACTGTTTCCAAGTTCCCATTAAGTCAGGGGCAGTGGGCCACAACTATAAACCTAGCCAGTCTTTAGGAATCTAAGGCAACCAAATCAAGTGTGAGGCCAGCCAAAGCTCCAAAGTAAGAAAAGCCTTGCATAAAATGCTTTAAAATCCTCTTTCACATGTAACCCCTTGGTTCAGGCATCGGGTATCTACTTCTTCAATTGCTTTTACTACTGAAATATTATAGATTACCACAATCTTTTTTGTTTGGATTTGTTTTGTTTGTAGAGACATGATTTCTCTGTATAGCCTTGGCTGTCCTCTGCAGACCAGGCTGGCCTTGAACTCAAAAGATCTGCCTGCCTCTGCGACCAAGTACTGAGATCAAAGACATTCGCCACCACCCTCCAGTCTATCACAATCTTGATTCTGGGGTGTTCTCAATTTTCCCAAACATATTTATACCAACAAGCTAACCACTTTGCCCTTTCCTGGTATGCTCAAGACAGCTTCTCTATAAGTGCTCTCCTCATCAGTTCCTTTGTAAAGTCATCACAAGAACTCAGTTTGTCACTCACTTGTTCTTAATAAACCCAAAAATGGGATTACCCTAGTTGCCTTTTAAAATATTAAAATGAGTAATTTGTCAATTCTATTTTTTTCCAGGTGAGACAGTACACAGCTTTAATTCTAGCACTCAGGAGGCAAACACAGATGGATCTCTGATTTTGAAGCCAGCCTAATCTACATAGTGAGTTCCAAGACAGCAAGGGCTATATAAGAGAAACCCTCTCTCAAAAAATAAATGTATTTATGGGTATGTGCACATGTGCTTTTTCTATATGTGCACCACATCCCCAGAGGTACCACAAAAGGCTAGAAAAGGGTGTCAGATCCTAACATATATTTACTGGGAATTGAACTCTGGTCATCTACAGGAGCAGCAAGTGCTCTTAGTCACTGAGTCATCTATTCGGCCCATTTATTTAAAAAAAAAATCAAATGGAAATGAGTCTTCTAAAACAAATTCAATTCATCAATAATAACTGAATCATACACCTTACTATTGCCAGATTGTTAAAAGAGTTCCTCAGCAGAGAACACAAACTGAATGACTGTTACACATCCTGCATTCTAAAAGCTTACATAACTTATTCAAATTTTGGGCCTTAATGTAAATAGGAAAGTAGAAATCCATTTTTCAAGAAGTATACTAGTTATTTTCCAGATTTACTTCAGAATATAGATTTGGCCTCTAATTAAGCAAATCTGCTATGAACAATCAGATTTGGTCACCTTCTAAGACCATTACTATTTATTTACAGATTTGGTCACCTTCTAAGACCATTACTATTTATTTACTTGCTTTCAGTTTCCAAAACTAGCATCTGAAACATGACTTCCCTGAAAAGTTATAACAAAAACTAATACTTTTGTTAAAGTTTTGGCAACTTAACATCTGTCTCTATAATACGTTACATACAACCCTTTCTTTTCCCAAGCCAAACAAAACAAAATTGCCGTCCTATCTATAGAGCCTTCAAGACCCACGACCTCCCATTTTACACTTGGAAAACTATTTGAACAGGAAAAGCATGTCCATCACAAGCAAGGATCAAAGCCAGCATGTCTAGGAATTAAATTTTTCAAAACCTGTTTTTCCTATTATTCAATGAATTTTGAAACCCCTGAGATTCTTCATTGTAAGAATCATGAAAAACATTACTTTTCTTGTCTTTAAATAGTTATGATAGAAAGTACAATTTAATTAAGGTTTCTACATTTAGAACTGTCTTAGACAGATATGAGTTGACTACTTTCTCTGAAAGTGGCAATCAAATCAGGCATATTTTTAATTTACCTTGATCAGCCTGCCGTATCTACTGTTAAATGAAGCATATAATCAGAACTAAAGGGACCCACATCTAAACTCAAAGCTTCAAACAATTTAAATAATGGTATTAAGAGAAAAAAATTTTTCGCCCACGTTACAGTGAAATCCCATAATGGTGAACCATCTGAACTGAAATGTATTCACCTAGGATGTTTTGAAAAATCAACGCAAACCAAATAAAACAGATTTCTAACACCCACCAAGAAGTACTTCTTGCTCTTTGGGGTATATTCTGGATCCCATTCCTCTTCCTTCGGTCTCTTTTGAAAAGTAGTATTTGAGTTGTTTGGACCAGTATTTGTCCCCGCAAAAACTCCTCTGGCTCTTCCTCTGCCTCTAATTCGAAACTGATTAACATTAACAAAGTTGTTTAGTAATGCAATCAAAGGTATTTAGTTACATGCAAACTATATTTTACTGCAGTAACAAAAACAAAATGTATGCATGTATGTCTGTCCATCTGTCTATCTTCACAGCCACTGAGGATGGGATGGGTAGCAATTTTATACCATAGACCTACTGGAAGTTAGGTAGATTACAAAAAATAATATATTGAAGTATTAGAATATGTACTTTCATGACCTGAAACTAGCACTTTTAAACTATGATACAGTTAGATGTCCCCCCCCCTTTTCACTAACTAAAAGTTATCTAGTTCCTTTGAATTATATCACTAGAATCCCAAGTGTCTAAACACATCTGTTTACCCTACAAGAAAAACTCTTCCTTTGCCTAAATGACCTAGTAACTGTAGCGTCTAGTGACTGTATCCAACTAGATAAAGCTAAAGGTAAAAGTATGGATGTGAGAAAATGCACTACCTTTAAGCTTCTAACAGTTACAATAACTTTATAAACCATGGAGACAATGCATGCTATGTAGAGTTAGGAAAGTGTGGCTGTACACGAATAAGCAAGGACCTGATTAGGCAAAAATGAATACAGTAATCACACAGAGATGAGTAGATTTTAATGCTTTTAAAATCGGTTTCCCAAAACTAGTGATTTAGTAAGTGAACTTTCAAAACTGATATTGATCTGGTGGGGAAAAGTATCTGTTTATTTAGATGCTTCAAGATCTCAAAATGGCATTTCTGAATGAAGATAGTATTTCAAACACCATTTCATTTCTCAAGACTGATTCTTACTTCGGGAAAGACAGCTAATAATCTACAAGGTATATTTAATTTCCCCTTTTTATAGTTCTCCAAGGTAAAGGCGCCTGAATGATCAAAGACATTACTTACAAAGGTTCCTCGAGGTCTGCTAACTCCTGCAAATCCTGAGTAGTCTTTCATCTCATGGTGAGTTTTAAAGTCTTCTTCTCTTTCTTTCTTACTCTCTTTTTCTTCTCGAGAACTAGGTGAGGAAGGTGATGCTGAAGAGGATGATGATCGAGAATGATCTTGCTCTCTACCTTTATGTTTGCTGAAAAATAAAGAAAAATATGTGCTTTTTTTTAAAAGATAAAGAATTCTTTAGAATCTTATGAGGAATGTTTTTAAGTTTAAAAAAAACTATCCCCTATAAAATTATTACATAAGTAAAATTGGGTGTAAACTCTGACAGTCTGTTCCAATCTTCTTCAATAACTGTTTTATATAATTAACAACGCACTAGAGCCTACCAGTTAGAAACTGGTTGTTTGCAAATTTTAATGATGTTCAGTTCTTCAATACATTAACTAGTAATCTTTTGTTATCTTAATAAGAAGAAAGGAAAAAGTGGGTTTCTGTTGTTTGTTGCAGTGCTGGGGATTGAACCCAGGGCCTGAAACATGCTAGGAGGCACTCAATCAAGCTACAGCCCAGCCCGAAAATGTTCTTGAATCCAAGTTTTAAATGACTGCAGTTTATACACACCCCGAGTAAGAACAGTTTGTACAGTTTGGGCCTTAACGTCATGATAGAAATAAAAGGCATGTGACATTACAAGTAACAGTCATAAACTTAAAAACACAAGTAAAATCCACCATTTACCTAATGAACATCAAGAAAAACAATTATCTATAATATACTGTATTTCTACATTTGACTCTATGGTGATAAAAATTTACACGATTCTAATGCAACACCCAAAAAAGGTCATACCTGCAATAACTCTTACCACTGCTAATAGTATCCACGGAAATATAATTTTCAAAGACTAATGCACAATCCTATTTCCTAGTTTTTCCTCCCCCCATCTGTCCCATGTTAAACCACTAGGCATCATTTTAACAGTCTTGTACTCTGGGTGTTATGAGTTGAAAAAGTGCGGAATCAAGCATAACGAACCAAAGTCCTTACACAAACTGTTTCTAGAAATGCATTGCATTGAAGTCCAACCTCCTGATGTAGCCTGGATAATAGGACACATTAATTTGTCATTTTTTTTTTCAGTGTTAGCTTGCTATTCCAAAGTTTTTGTCCTCATCCACCATAAGCCGTGTAAAAGACAAATACATTTTTGCTGTAAAACAAATAATTTTAATTGTTTAAATTTAAACATTCGATTACATAGTCAAAATTGAAAGCAATTAAGCTGACAATTATTAAAGGCTAATTAGAAGCTAAAACCTAAGTCAAGACAACTTTAACAATTACCTGTCATCTTTGTAAGATTTGTATTCCTTGTAATCTTTTGGAGTTTTTTCTTGCTTTCTTGATCCACTAGATTCCCTGGAGCCCTTGGAATCCCCCCGTTCTTTACTTCTTTCTTTACGGCGACGATCAATGTCATGCCGGAGATCAGCTGAATCGCATCTTAATTTTTTATCTCCCTGTAGAAAATATATGTAAAATACAGATTTCAGGGAAAAAAAACCAGAAATGCATATATACATGCAGAGTTTCATCACACCAGATTCTAAACTTGCATTTTAAATATAAAAAATAAGTACATCATATACAACCATTATCCTTGTAAATTTTTAATACTTATTTTTACTGAGCATTTGTGTATGTACACTAGAACTAAAAGTTACTAAAACCTTTAGATTTGTGATATTTATTCAAAAGAATCTATAGTAGCCTTCTGACAACAAATTAATACATTCTTCTACTCAGTGAGTCATGATTAACTCTCATTCTTCCAAATAGCGTTTATGAAATAGCTGAACAGTGTTCAAAGTTAGCATCTAGAGTTGCAATGTGGCTTTGCGCCTAAAATCTTGAGATCCTGATGTTATGCGTCTCAACTAAGCCTCATGATAATGAGGCTCATCAAGCTCTTCCCAGATAAATTGATAAACCCAAGAAAAGATACTTCAAAATTAGGGATTCTGTAATTTTCATGACATGCAATTGGAATTCAATTAATAAAACTGAGGTTGAACAAAGGTCAAACATAGTCAAAAAGATATTATTCGCAATCCTGTACTCAGTATCTGGGGCCATATATTGCCCTTTCTCAATTCAGGTATTGCAACAGACATTAGTTTAACTGGGTCACAGTTCACCTCCTCCTTGTTCCATTGCTTTTTCAAATACTATTTAATTTAGGAGTTGAAAAGAGGCATCTAGGAATGAAGAGAAATTATACATCAGTAAGATGCTAAGCAATGTGGACATCCTTTGACATTATTCAACAATGAGAAGTTTAACTCTGGGAAGTCTAACTAATAATCATAAGCATGAACAAAACTGAAATATATATATATGTGGATATATATATATACATATATATATGCATCTCTCAATGTGATAAGTACTACTCACCAATTTGCTCCTAAGAGTAACAAGGTCTAATCATAAGCAAAGCTTTCCTATTCACCTTGGCATTACTAACTCCACAATAAACATGATAAACTTAAGGAAAACTACTTTGTAAAGTTTGCTAAGCATATAATTTCATATTAACATGTTATTCATTAATAACAAGGCCCTATTATCATGTCCTCCTAATTACCCATCACTTCTCTTTCAGACCAAAACTTTGAATACTAAGAGGAGAAAAATACTGTCAAAGCACAAAGACAGAATAAACTGCTGGGAAGTTAACACAATTTACACTTACTGAACCTAAAGTATTATGGTCAAAAGATTTTTAAAAGGTATTAAGCCAGTTCAATCCTCAGTCCATTTTCCCAAAATGGTTATCTCCTGTGCACAGACATCATCCCTAAATCTAGATTTCAAAACCAATTCAGTTAGTAGCACACCCTACTGAAAAAATTGTGCACCGGAACTCTAGGTTTCCTATCAATAAAAATACAAATCACTCCACAACTGCATACAGCAAACATATTACTCATATTACTTTAATTAGGAAAGTCAAAGTTTAATAAAGTTATTTTCTAAAACTCTTAGCATTTTCAAAATAGAACTGATCCTTTGCTCCTTCTGCTGCATACTTTACCACTAAACACTTTCTAGACAGTCATATGAACTTGTGTACTAATAAAAGTCCACTCTGAACCAGAGTCCTTAGTGACTGCACTGCAGTCTCCCCGAGTCCTGCCTTCCTCACCTTAGCTGTAGGATCTACACGTTATTTCAAGTTTCAACATCAAATTCCTAAGTAGTCCAATAGAAACAAAAGTTCACTTAGCAATCAGTCTGTAGAATGCCTACTTCTTTGCTTTCTCATGCTGCATCCACAGCTGGCCTGGAACTTATATATATCTCAGACAGGTTGGAATTCAAAGCCACCTGCTTCTGTCTCTTGGGTATAGGAGATAGTGCCTATTTCTCTTGTTTTTTTTTTTTAATTGAGAATAGAATTTCTTCATACAACATATTCTGATTATGGCTTCCCCGCCCTCTATTCCCCCCAGTTCTTTCCCACCTTCTTCCCATCTGGAACCAGCCCCTTTCTGTCTCTTGTTAGAAAACATGTAGGCATCTAAGAAATAATAGTTAAGATATAAAACAAAACAAAAAGAATGAGGACCAAACAAACAGAAAATAAAGAGCCCCCGCGGGGGGGACTAATTCTTAAATCACATAAAAAATATGCACTAGACAAGTGTGATGGTACACATAGGGAAAATAAACATTCAGGGGAACCTAAGGCAGCAGTACTGCAATGAGTTCATGGACAGCCTGGGTTGTTAAAAGTTACTATCCTCAAAAAGCCTAAGGGCACTAGGGTAACTTCTTTAAAGAAGTAGAAATACAATTAACTTTAAGGCATACTCAAATTCTGACTTGTTGATCTCATCTTAAAACCTCATAAAAACCATAATAATTTTTATCATAATGTTTATAAACTTTTCTTTTTACTCACTGAGTTCCTAATTCTTAGGACCAACATTTACTTTTGATAGGCATTTTCAAAAAGTATCCTTGGTTTACATTTAATTACCATAAACATAATGCATTCACAAATTGAAAAAGATGAAGTTATTTTGCCTCAGAAAACGATTAATATAGTATCATTAAGAACAGCTTCAGAAGAAAAGTAAATATTTAAAAAAACATACCTTCTGATTTTCTTCTTTAAAAACTCTCTCCTCGCCTGCTAAACGGGTATGCTTCCTCAAAGCACTTGGAGAGATGTCAATCCTCCTTCATATAAAATAAAGTGTATATAAAATTATATAATTTACTTCCTAATTCAAAAGAAAACAGTTCTATCCATTGTTGGTAGGTACTAGATAGTTACCTCTCTCCTAGAAAACCCAATTTGGCATTTTAAGTCTATTAATTTCTAAAACAAGAAATAAAAATTATATACATTAAAAGGAATGAAAAACTGAATATGGTAGCAAATGCCTCTAATCTCAGTACTCCACAGATTGAGACAAAAAAATTCCTCTGAATTTGATTCCCACATACACCATGTGAGTAAGTGGTCAGCCTAAGTTACATAACAAAATCCTGCCTCAAACAAAAAACAAACAAATTAAAATGTTTTGGGTAGACTTTTATATATAAATGGTAGCATATCTTTTAAGCACGGTTATATTACAACCACAACAGAAAAAATATTATTTTAAATACTAACCATCATACAATTAAAACACATTAATATAGCTATTATTGGTATTGCTATTAACACTCAAATTACTGTCTTCCAAGAGTTCTCATAATTTCATGCATCTGGTTCAATTTTTGTGTAATTCTGTACCTTACTGTCTTAAGTTTTTATTAGTTCTCAATGCTTCATTAGCAGTCATCAATCACCTAAATACCTCACCAACTAAGCCCCAAGTTAGATACTTTAAGTTTTGCCACTATCCTGTAAAGTAGTCTGCCTAGACATTAAATAACTTTTTCCCAATGCAACAAAGTGCCAGAAGCCAGCCTGCCAACACAGCTGGCTGACAATTCTTCAGTTTCTCCCTACGCATTTTTACCCCAGACAGCCTCAGCAAATTCAAAGGTTTCTTTAGGCAGTAACTCCGCAAACCCAGGCCCCCAAAACTACAGCTATTGAAATTCCGGAGTGAGTAGGTTAGCATTTTAAAGGTCTAACAAGTTTTAAAAATTAAACTAAAAATCAGGAAAAAATTATTTTTTAAACCTGAAAATACAGTGTTTTAGTCTAAGAGGAAGAAACCAGAGCTTACTTCTATCATGATAATAGCACACTTCACACACAACCGTGATATTAGTCATCTCTCAATAGTAACATTTTATACACAAACTCAGTACTACTATACATACCTGTGTATCTCGGGACTCTTTTGCCGGGTACTATGTTCTTCAGTAGCTTTCTGGTATGAAGTGAACCGCTCGTTTAGGGTCACTGCAGGTGATTTGAAGTATTGCTCTGTTGATTTAGGAGAAACACTGCCGAATTAGGAATCTTAATTTTAAGAGAGGATTTTCATGTGTGATAGAGGGCATGGAGCAGGTGAAAGAGAACAAAAACACTCAAGTAACCTAGCAGAAGAGAACCAAGTATTAAAGTAAAAACTCCTGCTCTTTTTACTTCCTTGTACCTCAATACACGATTGCAAAAGTCCTCACAGGGCCCTGTCAATACTAAATATAAGCCCAAAACAATGAATAGATTAATCAAAACTCTAACTCCATGCTAATAAACTACTTCCTCAAACAGAACAAAAAGGAACAATAATAGTTGGTATGTCCTTAAACCCTGCCAATTAAACAAAGCTCTCACTTCAACTAATCATTTGCAGAAAGCAAAAATAAAGTATAGAGTAAACTAGTTAAATTATTTTAACTATGATGACATATCAACAGAAATGGCTTTACAAAAAGGTGAATACTGCCATTCAATTGGGAAAAAACATTTTGAAATTGATTTACATTTACTAATTCCTCCAAAAAATCTGGCATCTTGGCAAACCTGACAACGCATTATAATACTGTATCTTTCTTTAAGCAATTTTTAAATTAGTAATAACGATACTGATTAGTTTCTAAACCAGTTTAAGATACGCTTTAAATGTAAAATAGAGACGTATAAAGTCATGAACTATGAAATGTTACATTATGAAGCAAGCTATCTGCTTAACAGGTCAACATACATCTGTGTCAACTTACCGCCCAATATCCAGCACATGTCTCATAACCAATCATTAAAACTTGAAACGGCCACTACAAGGGTAGTGCCTCAATCATAATTCCATGAAACCCAGGAATTTGAGCTAGCAACTCAGTTTTTATGCCATTTTTGCCAGGAAGACAGAAGATTCAACTTTGCCTGTATCTTTCAACAGCTATTTTACTTTGAAACATGGATTTTGCCATTTCAAAACATATTCCAGGACCTAGTTACAATGAAAAAGAAAACATCACTGGGCATTTTCAGCTCTATATAAAGTAAGAGCTGTTCAGATCGGTTGCACAACACCAATTATGAAACATAACTACAGATCCTCTAAAAAAGAAAAAGGAAAAAGGAAAAAATGTATCAAAATCTGATCTCAAAATTCAACAATAAAGTTTGGAGACACGTCAAAAAAAAGTTTTAAAAAAAGAAAAATGTTAATGCTTCCTAATTTTATGTGCCACAATACTAGTCATAAAGGTCATAACATGGTTCACAAGTTTATCTACAGCCAAACACAAGACTCTCTTGTTACCATGCTGACTACAGCCACAAGAAATGCATTACCTGTTACTCGGGCTAAGGGAGAAAGTGACAAATTTCAGCTATCATGAGTTGTTCACGTGACCAACTTTAAAAAAAAGAAAAAGGAAAAAAAAAAAAGACCAACAGCCATCGAGTTTCCTGGGAAAGAACCTGCTAAACACAAAAATAACCAAAGCAAAACTTACCTAATTGACCCCAAACAAAATTGTACCTAAAACTTTTGAAAATTAGCAGCTTTTAAACTACAACTATATACTGGTGAAAATATGAACTCATCACTTTAGCTAAAATGAACCCCCTTTTTGAGAACCTAAAGAAATATCTTATTATTCTAGTTAGTCATTACTCATATAGTCATTAATAAAGTTGTAAATTTCTTAAACTTTGATAGCTTTAAAAACTTTTTAAATAGTAAACAAAGAGAACTCAAATATTATAAACAAGTTAAGTAGCACAAATTTAGCAACTATTTTTCCAATGCCTTCAGGTATCTTTAAACTACTTATAAACTCTCAGTAAAACAGTAACTACACTGCCTAAAGCTGTTATAAATTTGACATTATATGTCACAAAGTCATAGGCATACAATGACAGTAAATCTTTAAATAATCTTAAATAGCTTCACTTTACATGCAATATGACATATTAAAATTTTCAGCATTAAACAAATCTGTATACTTTGACATGATACAGATATTTTATGTTTTAACTTCAGTCATTTGATCATCTTATATTCATTAATCTCAATAATAACAACACTGATATCCTCTCTACAAAATTATTTTCCAAATGTTTAATATTTACCAGTACTGCTATATCTACCTGCTAGCTCAATGAACACAGTTATTATTCAACTTAACTACTCCCTTTATTTTGCATGCAAGAAAAGTTCACTTCATGATACTAAATATATTAAGCATACCTTTAACATGATGAACCAAGGATACAATGTGTTGTATAAATGACTCTGAAGTGCTTTTGCTGGCCTGAGGTAGCTTAATGTGGTCAAAGATGGATCGGAATTCTTGCTCCTTCTTGACAGAATGGACAAGCGTACTAGCAAGTAGCCTGTCTTTCGTCAAGGAGGCTGGCCTAGAATATATCAAAAACAAACACACACACACACACACACACAAAATACAGCATTGATTTGAATGTGTAAATTCCATGTTCAAAAAAATAATTTTACCATTAACCACCTCTAGATTACTTACGAGGCATCAATGTGGAATTACCTGTTAGAATCATCAAGAGGAACAGGTGCCATTTTGAGTTTGACTTCAGGACGATGAGAATCACTGGCTATCATTTTGATCCTAAGTGGGCTCTCTTCTCTGAAGACAGACTTTTCTCGTGTATCTAGATTCTTGTGTAGAGGGGGACTGTAATCAAAGAGGTCTTTGAGCTTTTCAGACTTTACCTGCTCAGGTGACTGTGTTTCTTTCTTTACTGTTATTCTTTCAGAACCTTTGTCCTCTTCCTTGTGCTTATCTTTTGCAGTGCTAGGCCTTTCCACTATGTATCCAGTCTCCTTCAGTTTATAATTCTTTTCTTCTCTAAATCCATCACTTTCTCTATTGCCTTTTAGTGAGACTTTGGACTTGTACTTGGGTCCTTCCTCCTCAGTATTCCGATGAGATGAAGTACCAAAACTTTTCCCCTGATCAGCCAGGACTGACTTCCTAAACTGTCTATAATCCTCTGTCTCCTCTGTGTCATCCCCTTCTGAATCATTAAATTTTTGTTTTCCAGACTCTTTATCACTGAAATAATCTAAAACTTCCTGGTCTTCCCAATCTCCCTCAGCCCTGCCTTTCTCTGGTCCTTTCTCCTTGGGAGCCTCTTTTTCCCTGGGGTTACCCCTGTCAAGCAGGAACACTCTAGACTCTTCATCTGTGAACCTGTCAACAGGAAAAGTACAGTAACTCTGGGTTGCATTCACTGTAGATAATTTGCATATTTAAATGTGTTATTCAATGAAAAAAAAAACCTACAGAAAATTAACCTTATTCTTAAAACCATTAAAAGCACTCACACAGAACTTATACTTACAAATGATCTAAAGTTTAAAGTCATCCTCAAAATCCTATTCTATGCAGTCACCCACCACAATTTTATACGAACAAATCTAAATTTTAAGGGATCCAAAATTTAACATTTTAAGGTTAGAAACCACTATACAAATACCTACTAAAACTCAGTTTATATTTACACTCAAATTTTCAGATTTCACTTTTTATATTTTTCAACTGAGTTTCATGTTTGCCAGCTAGCCTCCAACTCTCTATGAACTGAACACTCTTGATCCTCCTGCCTCCACCTCTCTAATACTGGGATTACAGGTATGCATGTACCACAACATTTACCTTTTTTTATCAACATAAGTAAGAGCTCGGAGACTTTAATAGAATTTGGTATTCAATATTTTAACTTAAATCACAAAACAGTTCATATAAAATTTGTCCTAAAAAATAATGACTTCTGGAAATAAGGCAATCATCAACTCAGTGAAAAAAATTCTAGATTGCACAGTAAAAAAATTATAAAACAGCATAATTTGTTCTACCTCCTCACTTTCTAGGTAAATCACACTATATTAACAGCCTAATTTTTGTGAAATTTCCTAGTATCTTTCTGTAATGCTTGAAATTAGAATTTAAATAAGGTATTTCAAATGTCATTAGACTGAGAAATAGCAAGATGTTTTTCCAAGTCAGGCAGAATTTACTAAGTATTGACAGCTGGATTGTACGATCACATAAAAGCAGGTAATATGACCACACAGTCACATTCAAAAGCAAAAAGGAAAAAAGTCCCTAGCACAAACTGTTTACTGTTTTTAATATATATCATTGGTTATCTTAGGCTACTTAGTTTTTCCTTGTTTATAAAACTAACTGAACTGACCAAAATTGCTAACATTAAAACAAAAACTAGAAAAACATCACTGAAAGAATTACCAAAAAAAATTACAAAAAATTGAGCACATAACACAATGCTACTTTATTGCTTTAAAAAATTTTTTAAATCATTATTATGATAAATGTCCTACTTTGGGTTCTTACCTTTTTAAAAACTTTCCTGTTTTTGCTGTTTCCTGATCTCCTCCATCAGGATAAAAAGAGGACCGCCCCCTAGATTCCTCTCTTGGAGCACTCTGTGGTGTGATTGTCTTTGCAGGGCTTCTTCGTGAAGGGATATGATGAATCGGACTATTCTGGGAAGGACTATATCGACTAGACCCATTTCCAACAGAACCAGATCCAGACCTTTCAGGACTGTGCTGCATGGAATGTGAATGCTGAGAAGGGGTATTTTTGGCAGAGTGGACTGTACTAAGCATGGGGGCATCTGAGCAAGATGAACTCTGACTAGGTGGTGTGGCAATAGGTGATGGACTATGAGGTGATCTTGGACTATTATCATAAGCTGAAAGGCCAGGCCAAATATCACCAGATGTGGCAGATTTATTAAATTCATCAATAGACTCAGATGGATCATGTTCAAATGTATCCTTTGGTTCCTCCTGTGATTTGCTTTTCAAAGGACTCTCTTCTTGCGGTTCCCCTTCAGCTTTTTTGGTTTGTTTTTCCTGAGACCCTCGTCTTTTAGAGACAGGAGATTTGCTATATGGGGATGAAGAACGAGACGATGATGATCTTGGAGACCTAGAGGATCTGTATGACCGGCGAGATCTGCTTCGGGATCTTTGAGAAGAAACGGATCTTCGTTTTGGACTCCTGGAACGTGACCGACCTCGTCTAGGACTCCTAGAATGCCTTCTATTCCAAACAGGTCTATAGCCACCTCGATGGTATCTACCTCCTCCTCCTTGGTAATACCCTCTACCCCTTCCTCTGTACCCATAAGGCCGTCTCATTCCTCTATTATTCCTGTAATCTCGACGATAATCTCTAGAATAAATACGATCTCTACTACGAGACCTTGAATATGTCCTGGAACGGGACCTAGAACTAAAAATGAAATAAGTATCAATTTAAGAAAAATAAAGTACTTCATTCTAACATTTTAGATACATTGGGCTGAATAAAACATATATACAAGGTAAAAATATATACTTAAAAACTTCATTTGTATGAAAGTTTGTTTACTGTTTCTGGTATGTTTAAAGCTTGTGTCTATAACAGGCCTCGGGAAAGTAGGCACAGGAAATAGAAGGGTACAAATATATTCAGCAGAAGATTATTAACATATCTAGGCTGACACTTAAAGTCACAGTGTAAGAGAAATTTAAATGGCACAATGAATTGCTAATAGTGAAAATGGAATTATATACAGTGAAATGCCACTGATATTAAGCAAAGCTGATCATATAAAACACAGAAAAATTACAAACTAGTATTAAGTCTCAATAGGTTCCTCCTTTCTATGATATGAATATTATTACAATTCTCAATTTCAACTCTAAATGTAGATAACTAATCCAATCCTTGGAGTTTTACTGAGAATGAAATATATTTAATGGAGTTAGCACGACATATGTATGCACCAGATTATTTGCATCTATTTTGCTAGTAAAAACACCAGAAACACATTAATTCACCTGTATCTCTTCTTTCTAGAATGTGATCTTGATCTTGATCTAGAACTCGATTGTGATCTAGACTTTGATCTTGAAGAATGTGATCTAGAATTGGAGCGGCCCATTTCTTTTCTCCTAATCAAATGAAGTGGAAATAGGTTGAATCAATACAAATAAAAGTACTTGGATATTTCCTGATGCCAGCTGGATTTTTTACAATCATTACTCTTTTCAAATGAATACTTAACTTATAAAACAGGCCTATTATCCCCTAAATAAGTTTTCACTTGCATAACAAATACTATAAACTCAAGATAAAACAAAGTATTTCTATGAACTAAATACTTATGTGCCTCAATCCAAAGGCACCAACTATAGAAATCAGAAAGAGCAGTCAACAACTGTGTTATGTGTTTTTCCATACCCAATACAAAAGGCCGCCTACCTTACCTGTAAAAAATATAAAATTACATGAGTATTGCAGAAAAGAAACCTAAAAACAGACCATACAAATGTTACAATATTCACTAGAGAGATGGCTTGGTAGTTAAGAACACTGTCAGAGATAGGGGCCCAGCACTAAGTGGGGGTGGACACGGGGTCCCACCCCTAACCAAGAAGTCATCTGCAACTGAGACCACCAAAGAGTTTCAATTATTACAGTGTGTATGTATATTAACCCCACTTCAGGGCATGCCCTACGCCCAGAGAATATTTGACCAACACAAAATAAGTTCAAAGGTATTTTCTATAGTCTGCAGTGTAGACTTTTTGTCTCATTTTGCTTTGTTTGGCTTTTTTTCTTGTCTTAATAGATTTTTGTATTCATTTTTGATTTGTGTTTTTGTGGGAGTGTTTTCTATTTCTTTTTTCTTGTTTTTTGAGAAAAAGGCCTAATGGTGGCGGCCCATGCCAGTAATCCCAGCACTTGAGAAGAAGAGGCAGGTAGATAGTCATCTTGTGAGTTCCAGGACAACTAGGAGTTACAAAGAAACCTTGTCTTGGAAAAAAAGAAAAGGAAAGTTGGGTACCAGAATCTAAATTTTCCTAAGCACTGATATAATCAAACTTCACTAGATACAGAAATCAGTGATGGTACTGATTTATAAGACGTGCTTTTCCTTAAAATACCACACACACACCCCATATATATATATATGGTGTGTACATACTTTGGTATGTACATGCAATGATTTACCACATATATACACATAAACATACACATACCATACAGATGTATATGGTGTGTATGTTTATGTATATATATGTGCGTGTGGTAAATCTTTACATGTACATACCAAAGTCATTTTTATTTTCAGTGATTCAGAACACACACACACGAATATATGTGTGTGTGTGTGTGTGTGTATATTAGTCTTAGCCTTTTAAACTTATTTTTTGCCATATAAGTTAAACCCTAAACAACAGACATTATTATGATCACTAAGCCGCAGACAGTTAAACTTCCACATACAACCAACCTCTGACTATTTCAAAACTTAAATACTAATAGCTTACTGTTGACTAAAAGCCTTAATATTTTAACAGAATTGACACACTATATAGTCATGTTATATGCTGCAAAAAAAAATACAAGAGAAAATTTATTGAAGAAAATGCTCACATGAGGAAAGACATGTGGCAACTCACTACATTTGAGTAGCACATGACAGCAACAGGAAGTAGTTAAAAAAATCATAGTATGTACTAAGGTTAATGAAGTCACTATTTAATGCTGCACCTTTGTATTTGTGTGTATGTTTTTGAGTCAGGGTTTCTGTGTAGCCCAGGCTGTCCTGGAACTCACTTGTAGACCAGGCTAGCCTCGAATTCAGTGATCAGCCTGTTTCTGCCTACCAAGTGCTGGGCTTTACAGACGTGTACCACCACCACCTGGCTGTATTTGTTTATATTTTTCACTTTTTTACAAGCAAATGAACCCATGCAATGAGTTCATAAATAGAGAGAGAGACACAGAGACAGACAGAGACAGAGAGAGCGCGAGCTCTGTAGTGGAATACTTGCTTAGCAAGCATTAGGTCCTAGATTCAAGCCTTCGAGTAAAATAAAAATAAACAGTGCCAGGCATGGCGGTGCACACCTTTAATCCCAGCACTTGGGAGGCAGAGATAGGAGGATCTCATTGAGTTCAAAGTCAGCCTGGTCTACAGAGCTAGTTCCAGGACAGGCTCCAAAGCTACACAGAGAAACCCTGTCTTTGGGAGAGGGGGGCTGGAACGACAGGAGCATGTAACTGTTTCGCATACAGGGGTTGTTTCCCCGGCAAAAGAGGGGGCGGAGCAAACTGAAAATGAAGTTCATTTACTTAAACTTTTGTTTTATGTGTATGATTTGCCTTCATATACAGACATATTCATACCTGGTACCCACTGAGACCGGAAGGTGCCAGGTCTTCCAAAACTAGAGTTACAGGTAGTTGTGAGGTACCATGTGGGGTACTGCAAATTGAACCCATATTCTCTAGAATTACTTTTAAACGTTGAGCCATCTCTCCAGCCCAAATTTATTTTTAGTAGGGGTATATGTGCGTAGATGCAAAAATGCCACCATCTACATGGGAAAATTAAACAACTTTATGAAGTTTATGCAGAGTTGGTTCGCTTCTTCCTCCATTCAGTCCGTTAAATCGAGGTTGTCAAGCTTGCATAGCAAGTGCTTTTACTGCTAAGCCACCTCACCAATCTCAATTCAATGTGAGTCAAGGGCCAACTGTATAAACTTTCCAAATTTCTAAGTTATTAGCAAAAATAATCATGTCCATAAAACTCAATTTACTAATGTTGTAAGTATTTAATTCTTATATATTTAAATCTTAACTCTCATTAAATAATTTTTTAGGGCACTTACTTATTTAGAGTTTGCTGTTATTATAATATAGTACTACTAGAGCACATTACAGAAGATACCAAGTTAAGCCAAATATGATGGCACAGACCTTTAACCCAAAACTTGGGAGGCAAAGGGAGGTGGATGCCTGTGAGTTCAAGGCTAGCCTGGTCTACATAATGAGTTGTAGGCCAGCTAGGTTTATACGAGAGACCCTGTCTCAAAAACCAAAAAATAAAAAAATAAAAAAACTAGAAAGGTTTTGAGCTGACATGTACTGGGCATCCATCAGGGCTACAGAACAAGAGTGTGTGTAAGCACCATACCCAGGGGAGTGGTGCTTTTTGTTTTTGCGTGGCATTTTGTGCCCTGAGTTTTAGAAAACACGTTTATAGATGTGGAAAAAGCTATCATTAGCATTTCAATTTTTTACACCCCCCCCCCCAAAAAAAAGAAAAAAGACTTTTCCAGGCAACTCTATTTGGTAGTACTAGGGGCCAGATCTAGGGTCTTGTCATATTAGGCAAGCACCCTACTTCTTTAGCTATCTCTCCAAGGCCAGTTTACAACACTCTTATTAATCACTTCTGATGCAGACTGGCAGCTAATTTTCTCAACTAAGTCAAAAGTAAAACCTTCAGAACATGAATGTCATTTACCTTGGGCTCTATGCAGGATCCAGAAGTCAGTGATGTCTTTAAGATACTGCCAAGATTCTTCCTGCAGAGAATGTTAAGGGAAATTAAACTCACAATTCAAATTCCAAGCAAAGATTTTTTTTAAGGAGTCTGAGTTTATGGTAAACTAGAAATGCACTGCTTATAATACATATATTAGGAATAGCAACAAATTATGTAGCCCAAACCTCCACTTTAGCCTCTCAAGTACTAAGATTACAGACGTGCACCTTGCCTAAGGAAATAGTAAACTTTCATCATAACAATTTAATTAAGATGACCATGATGGGAAATAATCCTAGCACTTGCAAGGCTGAGCAGGAGGATGATGATTCTGAGGTTAGCCTGAGCTTTGGAGCAATAGCCTACATTAGATAAGTGACAAAGAGGCCAGAGAATACGGCTCATTAGTTAAGAGCACTGGCTGCTGTTCCAGACGACTATCCAATTCCCAGAACCTCCGTGGCAGTTCACAACCATCTGTAACCACCCTCCTTCTGGTCTCCAAAAGCACCAAACACAAACCTGGTGCAGACCTACATGTGGACAAAACATAAAATAATTAAACCAACAACAATAACACCTATAATCCACAAATTAGGGCAAAATGGCAATCGAATCAGTTTCACTTCATTCTCAGTTATTCAGCTGAGTTCCAAGCTCCTAGGCTACATGAGATCCCACATATCTGTCAAAAACAAAACAAAACTTTCTAGACACAATGCAGCAAAGTATCATGTAACTGATACCTGATTTCTAATTGTAGCCACCTGACCTCTAGGGAACAAATGTCACTCCATCAGCAAATCTCAAAATCATCTTTGCATACAAAAACAACATAACATTTAAGTAGCCTGTAGTCGATACTCATAATGCTGTGTTTTCTAATACCTACAACAACATAAGGCTCTGCTCATTTTCTTTTTTCTTTCTTTTTTCTTTCTTTTTTTTTGCTTTTCAAGACAAGAGTTTCTCTGTGTAGCACTGGTTGTCCTGAAACTCACTTCGTAGGCCAGAATGACATTGAACTCACAGAGGTCCACCTGCCTCTGCATCCCGAATGCTGGGATTAATGGCATACACCACCACAGACCAGCTCTGCTCATTTTCCTAAAACATCCTATTATCTAAAACCGATTTTTAAAAATTCCTTCTAGCACAACCACAGTAACTTATGGCAAAAACAGTCTTTTAAAAGTATCAGATTAACTGTCTAAGAAACAGGCAGCAATGACACAAGTCTATAGGGAATTAATACGCCTAAGCTAATTGGCTATGTAAGTAAATTTAATGTTAATCAGTTATCAATATTGAAAAGGTTGCAACTTTGTGAATAATATTCAGAGACTAGTTTTATGCAAAGGTTCAAAACTACCAGAACAAAAACTGCTCAGTTTCTTTTTGTTTGTGTGGTGGGGGAAGGAGGGGGTGTTTGATTTTGGTTTTTGAAGGTGGATTTCTCTTTATAACCCTGGTCATCCTGGAACACTCTGTAGACCAGGCTGGTCTTGAACTCAGAGATCTGCCTGCCTCTGTCTGCCAAGTACTGGGATTAAAGGTACGTACCACTGCTACCCTCACCAGAACAGAAATTAAACTAAAGAATATATAACTGTCATTAAGAGGCCAGCATATAGATTTGAGACATATATACTAAAATAAAAATCCACGAATCTTACTATGCAATGATCGAATTTTAAAACGCTACTTTGGAAATATGAATAATACAATTAAATGTGTCAATCAATAGAAGCATCCCATTAATAGCCAATGCTCTTCCTGGGAAGATTTAGGGAAACTAAAAATCCAAGTGAGTTTTGACACAAAACTAAATATATTTCTAAAGTTTCTATAAATTTATTTTTTAAGTACTAAAAGCCCTAAGTAGATTTAAGAAAAAGTTAACTCTCTATATTGGTTTCTATGAAAACTTTATCCTGGTGCTAGGGTGATGTCAGAGTTTAAAGTCCTTGCTGGGCTAGAGAATTTAGATCCCAGCACCCATGTAGCTTGCACACCTGTCATCTGAGAGCTGGGAGGCAGACGGGAATCCCAGGAGATCACTATCAAGTCAGCCTAGAGAACTGGTGAACTCTAAGTCAGTGAGAGATCCTATTTAGAAAATAATACAAGATTAAGAACTGAAGGACACCCAATATCAACCTCAAATTCACACCCATGCATACAAGCATGCACAGCCATACTCATACTCGCATATACCACAAGTCTCTGTCCCCATCCTATCTCCACTCCCTCATCCTAGATTACAGGCCTGGATACTCAGGTATGTGCTAGGGATAGAAACTCAGGTTCCTGGTTTTCTGCAACAAGCACTATATCAAACTGAGCCATTCCACCAACCTCACTCTAACTCTGCTGGGAAACTAGAGGTTATGAAGAGAGTCATAATTATCTGATCTACATTTTAAGATAGCTGTTGTGTGAAGGAGAACACGTAGACAAATTGGACAGTTCAAAATTAAATAAAATAGTTATCTAGGCAAGGTGGTGGCAAGGGGGGAAAAGATACAAATATAGAATTTAGTGTCAAATTATACTTAACATTCGCATATTTGTTTGAGTGTAGAGTACACAGAATATAGAAGTAAGAAAAACTGATGGGAGACCCCCAAATTCTAACAGCTTGATTGATACTTAACATCTGGAAGGCAGGCATGTTGGAAGCAAAATCAAAAGATATGTTTGTGGTTCTTAGGATATAAAAAGTTTGACCCAGAATTTGACTGAATTCCAGACCTCAAAGCCTGTATTTTGTTCACTGCACTAACAAGTGCCTTTACAGGGCTAAAACTACTCAAGTATCAAATTTTAAAATGCCAACCTTCCCTTTACTCAACCAAAGTTGCCTATTAAAAGACTCCAATTGTAAACAGAGACTAAGTTGCCTCATGTATCTTTATCTAATTCACCACAGAAAAAAAGCCAGCTATGTTTCGTCTTTAAATTTAAAATCATGCCTGTTGGTGGTGGCAGCACACACTCATCCCAGCACTTGGGAGGCAGAGACAGGCAGAATTTGAAGAAAGATTGGTCTCCTGAATGAATTAGGACAGTCGGGGCTACAGAGAGAACCCTGTCTCCAGAGGAAAAAAAAAATTAGCTTAACTAACTTAAATCCATAAATATCTTAGAACCCTTTTTTTTAATGTATAAGATTAACCTGAAAACAGGTGATTAGAGAAAATGTTCATCAAGTTGGTGACACAAGCTTGGAATCACAGCACTTGGGAGACACGAAGGACAAACGTGAGAGCCAGCCAGGACTATCTCAAAATAAATGAGACAGACAGACAATCAACCTAGGCACAGTTACCACAATCTGTAAACCCAGTCTTTTGTCCTAGCACTCAGGAGGCACGGACAAGAGCATCTCAGCAAGTCCAAAGTCAGCTTAGCCTATAAGGCAAATTCTAAGTTAATCAGGGCTATTCAATTTGACCTGTCTCAAAACAAAATTAAAAAAAAAAAATCTAAGATAAAGCTACTCAAAAGTAGATTGTCTTATGATTTCAATCTTTTGTTTTTATTTTTTGAGACATGGTTTATGTAGCCTTGGCTGTCCTGGAACTTTCTGTATACCAAGCTGGTCTCAATTCACAGAAGTCCCCTACCTCTGCCGAGTGCTGGGACTAAAGGTGTAGACCACCACTGCCTGGCTGATTTCAAACACATTTAAGCTAAAAGTCTTTATTTAGTATACTGGGACCCATCTTTTAAAATCTGAAAAATACACTTTAATATATATGTTTATTAGGCTCAAATGTAGGCTCTTCATTAAATGACAACGCAAATAAATAAAATAAGGTATTTACAAGTTTACAGCTAAATAATAAATAGTAAAAGCTAAGCTGACTGGCATATGGTGTGTGCTCAGGTATTAACTATAACTACTGGTTAGCCTTGTTTGTTACATACACGTTTCCCACAGGCTATCCATAAATTTACTTCAAACAACTCATCTATTTAAGAGCACTCCTAACTCCTTTAGGGCTTTTAGAAAGTCCTAAAACATTAAACATATGTAAGTTAGTACTATTATTTATGAAGTTCATGGTCAGATTGATTTTCAATCTTGAGGACTCACAAATATTAAATGCTTATGACCCAGGGGTAATACTCATTAGTATTTAAGAATGTTTAAGAAACAAGATACCAATAATGCATAAACCCATATCCTCCAACTACAACCACTTACAATTACTACCCAGAGATACACTGGTCTTGATTCTCTTAACAAGTCAAGAAAATTATAGGGCAGATTTCAGCTAGTGGAGTATTCAACTAATGATATCAAGTGCAGGTCCTGGGAATTCCCAATTCAACCATCTATTCACAACTGAGTAAGACTTTCTTCACTGCTGTTACATCACAGATAATCTAGCCCATCTTATGTTGCTCCCAACCTAAGTTGCTCAATAAACTCAACTAGATGCAAGCCTATCACTAAGCAGTACTTCTACCAAATTGGCTGTCAAGTCCTAAAACTACTGTTTACTAAGTCAAAGTCAGCTCTAGGGATGGGGGTGTGCTGATCGACAGTGTTTCCCAGCATGTACAAAGTCAGGAGTTTTGAGTCCCAGCACCATAAATGAGTATGGTTCGAGACTGTTTTACCAACACAGGATATTTCAGCTGACTACTATGAACTGCTTAGGGACATACTTCCTATCACGATACATGAATCTGGTTAGGATCACATAAAAAAGCAAAGAAACTGGTAAGTCTTTTCTATATAAAGGTTCTTAATTGCCTAACAATACCCCAACTATTTCCATTTGAGCTACCTACAATGCAAATTCAGTGAGGACAAAAAACTTTGTTCTGCGTTTTTCTTTAATATAAAACAAATACCTGAAGCAACAGGCTGTAAGTCTGAAGTGAATAATGGTTTTCATCAGTTTTAGGTGCATTTGCTTTCAATTTCTATTCTTCTCCAGTTCTAATACAAAATAAAAATTACATTGAAAGTACTGATTGCTGATTTTTTTTTTTCAAGGAAGTGTTTCTCTGTAACAGTCCTGGCTGTCCTGGAACTCGCTTTGTAAACCAGGCTGGCCTCGAACTCACAAAGATCCCACCTGCTTTAGTCCCAAGTGCAGGACTAAAGGCGTGTGCCACCACCGCGGGGCCCTGATCCCTGACTTTGACCAGATAAACCTAAAGTATGTTGGGCATGGTGTTGTATGTCTATAACCCAAACATAAATACATGGAGAACCTGTAGCTCGAAGGCACTTGGCCTCATGAGACCAGTTTGGGACACATACATCCAATACTCTGCACATTCTCCAAGCCAAGAAAAGAAAATCTTAAAACTCAGCAGGGACCCGAAGTAGTGACGCAAAACTGTTAAGCGCCACTCCCGAAGCTATGGCAGGAGATTAGCCGTGAGTTCGAGGTCAGCATTGGGCGTTGGAGTTATAATCTTAATGTATCCTCCTCACCCATTTACCCAATCACCACCGCCAATGTCCTGAGTAAATTTCTAGGGAGTGGCAACTCTTACCGAAAAGGCACGTCAGTGCTTGTATTACTGGAGAAAGGGTTCTTCTTAGACGAACCCGTTGGGACACGAATCTAACGCAAGCAAACAGCAACTAGGTACCGACAGCTATAGTCAAAAGCCAACGGTTGTCCCAAACAGAGTAAGTTGCTAGGAAACCAAAACGATTCAGACTGGGGGAAAAAAACTTTCCCGCCAACACCCAGGTGCTGAGCGGTCGGTTACAAACACCACATCCCAACCCTCGATCTGATCACTTAAGCCGGGCCTAAACTGACACGTACCCTCGAGGCGAGGGAGGCGGCTTTAACCGCAACGCAGAAAGTGGTTGATCCGCTCGCCTAACTTTGTCACAGGTCACCGTTATTTTATCCAAGACCCACAAGTCAGGCCCGGAAGGAAAGACAACTCCCCCACGCCCCGCCCCGGCCAACGACAAGCCGGCCACGGAGCCAGCACACGCGGCCGCGTTGCCGTAGGCAGGGAAAGAAAGGAAAAAAGCGCGCCTGCGCAGAACCCCAGGTCGGGCGCGCGCAGGAGGCCCCGCCGACCGGGGGGGGGGGGGGGGCGGGGGGGGCTGGAGAGGCGTTTGCGCACGCGCACGGGAAGGCCGCACGGTCCCCCGGCCCCGAGCCAGGTTCGCAGCAGCCCTGCCCGCTGTCCGCCCGGCTCCCCACCCCCCACCCCTATGGCCCGTGGCGCCCTAAGAGGCTCAGGAACTGAGGATGAACAGCACGAATAACGGCACAGGGTCACTCCCGGGTTCTTCTCGCCGCCGATCCGTCACTACGCACGAAAGTCAACAAACCCCAACCGTCCCGTCTCCACGGCCCTTCCGAGTCACTGGAATGAGGAGCAGGGCCTACCTGACAACGCCGGAGCAGGGTTTTCAGGACTTGTCTCCGCTGGAACTACACAGCGGCCATCTCCCGACTCCAGAAGGAGAGGAAAACCATAGAGGTAGCCTCGACGCGCGAGCTCGGCTCCGTCACTTCCGATCCGGGGCGTGGCCTTCAGAGCCGCTAAATACGCGGGCCGGCCCCTCCCACCCGGCCGCCCAGACGCGGCTCGAGACCCGCCGCGGAGACGTCGCCCTAGGCTTTCTGGGAAGTCGCGTGGCCGATCTCGCGCGAAGACTCGTCGGGTTCGCCTGGCGGCGGGTAGCGCCCGTCTGCGCCTGGGCTGCGGCCGACGGGAGCGGGAAGCGCCGGTCACTCGGCCTGGTGGTGAGGGACCCCTAGAGCAGTGAGCTGGCCCGGGTCATTCCGACGAAAAGACCGGAAAGCCGACGCAGCCCCGTCCGCAGACACAGTCTGCACCCGTCCGGAAGCGCCGCGTTTCTCAGCCTGTTAAAGGGCTAAACGCACTTAGTTAAACCCGGACGGCTTCGGCTATCTCCGGAATTGCTTCGTGTTAGCTCGGCGTCCGGCCGGGTCGGGAGACCTGCTAATGCCGGCTGGGTGATTGCGTCACGGGATGGATCCTAATTTGGCAGACGCGACAACCTGACCCCCGGGTCTTTCTCGTGGTTGACATGAGCCTAGCAGCTAAGGACGCGAAGCTTTCAGTCCGGGCCGACCCGGAAACCACACACCATAACTCGACCAGAATCATGAATCAGATTATAAATAAACAAAAGCGGGATAATTGGAAACAAGTTGCAAAAAAAAAAAAAAAGGACTTTTAACGCGTGTACTTGCTCTTCTTTTCAAATCTGAACTCCGTGAGGGGACTAACACCGTTATTACTTTGATGTTTTAGGACGACGTTAGATTCCTTGAAGGATTTCCAAGTTGTAATTAGCAGCCTGTCATTTAAACTCATCATTAGAGTTTGGTTCTGATATTTAACTCTGCTCTGGGTAGTCTGTGCTCACAATCCGAATTGCCAGCTAAAAGTGGAAGTGCCTGCCTTTCCTGGAACGAATCCTGGTTTTGATGGGGTTTTAATTGGGCAATCTGCTTTCCGTCTAGCTCTCTCTCACTCAGGCGGTGAGAGCTGCCATCCTGGTGGATGCTCGACTCTGATAGGAACAAAGCATTTAGTAAGCAGGAGCTCAGAAAACATTTGTCAAGTAGGTTAACGGTATTTAAATGAAACAAAAGCCCTAACCGTTGACAGCACAACTTTCCTATTTTATATTAATGTGACAGTGAATGTTAATAGCTCTTGATGTATTCAAAACACCAAAATCTGATCGCATTGCAGCTATATAATGCAATTCCATTATAAATATGTCAAAAAGTCATCTTTTCGTCTCAGGCAATATAATGTTTTGTTTTTGTTTTTATTTGGAGTGGAGTGGGTGAACACAGAGACTGCCTGGTACAAGCGACACCATCGCCTTACCACAGACACTTTCCAACCCTAAGTTTGAGTTTAAATAAAAAGGCAGTTTACTACCAAAGAATGAAGACATTGGAACAAATAAATGGACTGAGGCCCTGTACAGGGCTCAGCATGCAAAGGAACTTGCTGCCAATCTTGACATAACTTGAGTTCAATCCCTGGGACCCACATGGTAGAAATGTAACAGAGACCCCAGCCCTTAGTAGGACCCCAGCCCTTAGCACCACTGATTGCTGTAGTGGAAGTTCCATTTAGACTGTAAAACTCAGCATGTAGATAGCATCACCTGCCAAAACTAAAAGGAAGGCCTCATCCGTCAAAGTCTATACATAATTCTGGGAAAGTCTCTAAATGTACTGACCTTGTTTTTTGGCCTCTGTGGTTCCACTTCCAGCTAACTGTTCTTGTTAACCCAAGACATGATTTGGGGGCTTAAAAGCTCACCCCGAGAAATGCTTGTGGCTACACTGGGATCCTGAACACCCAGTACAGCTAATGAATGACTCTATGTTGCCTTAAACCCATGTCTGAGCAGTCTTCTCTGCCGGATAACTCACTATAGAAGGCGAGAACAGATTCCTTAATGTCCTTTGAACTACACAGGGTGCTGTAGCACATACCACACCATCAGTGTTGTTGATCTTGGCCATTCTTAGAGGTGTAAGATAGAATCTCAGAGTTGTTTTGATTTGCATTTTTCTGATGGCTAAGGATGGTGAGCATTTCCTTAAGTGTCTTTCAACCATTATAGATTCCTCTGTTAAGAGGTCTCTGAGCTGGGTAGTCGTGGTGCACGCCTTTAATCCCAGCACTAGGGAGGCAGAGGTAGGCAGGTCTCTGTGAGTTCAAGTCCAGCCTGGACTACAAGAGCTAGTTCCAGGACAGCCTCTAAAACTACAGAGAAACACTGTCTCAAAATAAATAAATAAACAAACAAATAAATAAAAGAGGTCTCTGTTTAGGTCTGTACCTCATTTTTTATTGGATTATTTTCTTTTGTATATTTTGAAGATCAGCCTTCTGTCCAATATGGTGTTGGTGAAGATCTTTTCCCATTCTGCAGGTTGACATTTTGTCTTGTTGAGACCGTGTCTTTTGCTTTATAGAAGCTTCTCAGTTTCAAGAGGTCCCATTTATTAATTGTTTCTATCAGTTGTAATCAGAGACAGTGCGTTCATTCCTGATCACCCAGACCCCGAAACTATATTAGTTACAATATTGTTTGGCAAATATCTCAGGTATATTTATAGCTAGCCCCTATATCTTAAATTAACCCATTTCTATCAGTCTATGTATCATCACAAGGCTATGACCTACTGGTAGGTCTCCTCCTCCTCCAGCAGCTACATGGTGTCTCTCCTTCGACAGCTACATGGCATCTCCCTGATACCACCTACTCTCTATATCTCTTCTAGCCTGGCTATATTCTGCCCTGCCATAGACCAAATTCATTAAGCAATAAGAGCAAAATATATATAGAAGGACATCCACATCATCTCTCCTTTTCTGTCTAATTAAAAAGGAAGGTTTTAACTTTAACATAATAAAATTAAAAATATAAAACAGTTATCAAGGAAGAATTATAGTTACAATATTTTGTCCGTTTATATTTGAAAAAATAAGGAAAATATCATCTATCCTATCTTTGTGAGTTTTAAGTTTTATATCTGATTTATCTTTTATCATATCTAAGGAAAATTATAACTATAAATATTTGTCTTCAACTCTTCAAAAACCCCAGAAGGATATAATATTACCTAAGTAAATAGGAAGAGCATTGTAAGCAACTTCCAAAGTTGTAGAATTGACAAAGACATCTTGCTGCCTGGACAATCATCCAAAGTTCTTCTGTACCGTTGGGGCATCCATCTTCAGCCCACAGGCCCATAGTATCGAGAAGACTTTTTCATGAAGCAGGAAATTTAAAGATCTGTTCTCCCTTGTACTGGCAAAGATCAGCAGTTGCTTTCTTCTATATCCTGCAGAATGTCTTGTTGCAGGAGCTCCTTCCACTACTTCAGCCAATAGCTGCTGAGATACCAGCCCATTGGGGTGTGTTCTCTCTCCCTTTAAAAAAGCAGCCACTTCCCTCTCCTCTCTCTCTGGTTTCCGGCTCTACTTCCGGCTACTAGGCTCCTTTCCTGATTGTGCAAAGGGCTGTTGTCTGGGACGGTGATCTGTAAATTTTCCCCTTTGAATAAATAACCATTCTATTAATCATAATTCCAAACTGGTGTGGGATTGTTTGTGACTTACACCTTCAATGTCTGTCAGTTTCTTCTGTGAAGCCGGAAACCTGAAGGACCATCCCATCTTTTGGAAAGTTTAGCAGTCATTTTCCTGTAGGTCCTGCATGTCCAGTTCATACAGCATACCATAGAGAAGTCCAGGAAAGAACAGTATCTTGCCCAAATAGCCAGTCTTGTCACATTGAAGGCAAATTCCATAACAATGTTCTTCAATGCCAATCAACCTCTCTGAAGTAATTGGTACTTCCAGAAGCAGTTAAGTCTCACTGTCAAGAAGGACCTAAGTTCTTAAAATATTTTAAATGCCATATTCCATAGGTCTTTGGAAGGTTTGAAGAAAACCTATCTATCTAAAATATGCCTCTAACATCTAGAAAAATCTAACATGACTATATAAGTTTGACTATTATAAATAATTATTAATCTGTAATTTTTAATTATACATTACATTTTTAATGATCCACACAAACATAATACCTTAAACAAGAGCCATATTCTATAGTCTTTGAAAGACATAAAGAATGCCTATCTAACTGAAATATATCTCTATATATCTAGAAAATCTAACTAATATGGCTACAAGCTTTACTATTATTGATGATTATCCATTAACAACCTATATTTCCTAAATATACATTACATTTTTAAATGAACTACACAATCACAATACCTCAATCAAAAGTAGAAACATATATACATATAACAAAATCAACCTTAACTTTATACCAATAAAGCAAAATTTATACCAATGTAAATTATTCATATCTATATTATATCCTCCTTTAAATATAAAAGAACAGTTATAAACAATATTTGGAAATATGGGCACTGTTATTTCTCTCCAAACTGCTTCATGCTGAATGGGGGCGCTGTTATTCAGGTCTTTCGTGGTATAACCTGTGTGCTAGATTCATCTCAGTCAGCAGTTGAGTGAAATAATTTTCTGAAGGTGTTCACAGCAACCTTGCAGGAGGCCGTGGTCCATCAAACCATATTGGGATAGAAGCAATCCACAGGGTCTCATCCTCTGTGAAAACAAGACCTTTTCCAAAGCATCATAACCTTAGATCCAAATTTTGAGGTCAAGGTATTTTCAAAATATCTATCTTGGATTAGTTCAGCAGCATTTATAAACAAATATCTTTTAGCAGCTGCTTCTCCTTCCTCACCATTCAAACAATTAAAAAGAGCATAATAGCATACAGTATCAAGATTCTCTGTGTATTTTCCATCTTTACCAGGCTTTACTTAACCTCTATTTATTTTATTTTACTTTTACTTTTTGAGACAAGTTCTCTGTAAATCTTTGTCCTGGAATAACTCTGTAGACCAGGCTGTCCTTGAACTCACAGAGATCCACCTGTCTCAGCCTCCCAGGCATTGGGATTAAAGGTGTGTCCTGCCAC